CTCTCTGGGGTGTCGTGTGTCTCTAACGAGGCCTCTCACCCAGGGCCTGCTCTACACAGGCTGCAGGGCCCAGACCACTAGAGGGGCGTGGAGCCTGGTGCCACAGGCAGGGGCCATGCCGGCCTTTTGGTGCCTGTGCCACATGCCCCTCCCCTGAGCCAGATGCTCTGGCTCACCAGCCTGGGGCCCAGTCCATCCTCCGGGCACCCCGGCTGAGTGCCCCGCCTGCTGGTGGGTTGGGCTGCCCCGTGCCATCTCTGAGCCTCCGGTGAGGTGGGTGGGTTGGGCGGGGCGGGCCTGACCCGGGAACTGGTCTGTGCATCTGGTGGGGACGGGCAGACGCCGGACTCAGTCTTCACCAGGGTCTGGCCCGGGAGCTGGTGTCGTCATAGGAACAATAGCCTGCGTATCCCGCCGGCCGCTCTGGGAAGCCTGCTTGAGACGTGGCTGTCAAGGCTTGTGATAGCCAAGGCGGTCCAGCAGGAGGGGAGGTGGGAGCCCCTGGGGCCTTGCCTCTGGCTCTGACCTGGGCCGTGCCCACACACCTGACCTCCAGGCCGAGGCTGTCTGGGGACCTGCCGGAGTGGAGGGCTGCTGGTGGCCAGCACAGGTGGGTCGGGGAGGGCCCGGGGCCACAGCCTCAGGTGGGAAGGCCTTTCTGCACTGGTGACTGCACCCTGCCCCTGCCTCTGGCTGGTGGATCTCAACACGGCTCCTCCTCGGCAGTGTGACAAGGATGTGAGTGGGAGGTGAAGCCCCAGCGTCCGAGAATCCGGGAGGCATATGCTGCCCTGGGCGTGCCGTGAGTTGGATTCGAAGAATCATTCTGGAGCCGCCGGGCAGGGACTCTGAACCTTGGCTGACCCCAGGCGGCAGCGAGCCGAGAAACCGCAGCACTGGGCAGGCATTTCCTCACTGGCCCGAGCCCTGTGGCTTCCACCTCGCTCCCTGCTGGGCTCCTCTGGCCAGCTGGGCGGTTGTGGGTCCTGTAGTGTCACTTTCTGCCATGAAAGTTGCTGTCCCTCAGAGAAGATGGATGGCACATGGGGTGCTGGGGACTTTAACCTCACTGCCCCTGCCTGGTCACTTCCTCCCATCCGGACAGCCCAGCTCTGACAGGTTCTGAAGGCCACCTGGGTACCTCGCTGGGTTTCCCTCCTCCAAGCCTGGGTGACCACAGTGGCCTCCTGTTGCTCTCTAGCTTCCCTCCCACCCCTGCCTGCTCCAGACCTTTCCCTCTCCATGGTCACGGAGCAGGTGGCGTGTCCCTCTGCGTTGGACCCTCCTCTGGTGGATTCCCAGCTGTGGCTCCCCAGGTCCCCTGGGCCCACCTCTCGACCTCAGCCCCGCTGGGTCTCTGAACGTGTGGTCCCTTAAGTCGGGCATTTGGGAGCATCCTGGTCACTGCTGAGTCCAGCACTAGGCCCCCCTCCCTCCCGGGCAGCTCACAGCTGCCTGGCAGGAGGCCACCACTACCCCGATCCGCGCCCCTCCCAGACAGACAAGGCGGCCACTTCTTTGAAGCGTTTACTTAGCTCAAGTCTGAAGCTCCGGACATTCGGGGAGCACGCGCTTGGAGAGTGGGCGGAAGACAGTTGGTCGCGTCTACTGGGCTGCGACGGGACGCCGGCCCGGCGGGCGTGCGCGGAGGGGCGCCGCGCTGGACACCGCTCACCCGGGAGTCCGGCGGCGGCGGCTGCGCTCCAGGCCGGGCGTGGGGCGAACGCGGTCCCCGCGGCACCTTGTCTCCGCGGGCGCCTCCCGGCGGCCGGTGGGCGTGGGCCGCGCAGCTCAGCTCGGCTCGGCCTTGGCTACCAGACGCGGCATCGCTTCCTGGGGTGCATGGGGGTGCCTCGGGCGCACCGGAAGGCATCGGCGAAGGCGCCCAAGTTCCGCAGCGATCCCAGCACCCTGCGGGCGGCGCGCGGGCCGGTGGAGGGTGAGGCGCGGGGCGCGCGGGGCGCGGGCGGAGCGGTGGAGGGTGAGGCGCGGGAACGCGCGGGGCGCGGGCGGACTTGCCTGTACTTCAGGGGGCTGTGCACATCAGTCTTGATGGACTGGACGGCGAACTCGGGCCTGTAGGACCCGCACCACACCTGCGGGAGCGCGAGGGGCGTGGCTGTGGGACGGGCTGGGGCAGCCGGGGCACCGGGTTCCTCCCCTCCCCGCACCTGTGAGTTCCCAGCTCCCTCTGCCCCCAGCCTCATCACCGAGCCTGGTAAGGAAGTGCCCCGCCTTCTGCCCACACCCTCACCTGCTGGAGCAGGGCCCTCCCAAGGCGTACAGTGGGGAGGTGGCGGTGGGTGGCCCTACCTGGGCATAGTTGATGAAGAAAAGCTGTTCGTAGGTCAGATGCAGTCCGGGCAGCTGCTGGTCCTTGCCACCTTCCGCCACCCACTTTAGGTACGCCTGCGGGCACATGGGAGCTGGCCAGGCTGGCCGGACTCCAGAGTCCTCAGGTCTCCCCCCAGAGTGGGGGTCCTGCTCCTGCAGCTTGGGGCCCCTTTGCACCTGCCTCCCACGAGTGCTCACCACCTTAATTACTCAGGGGCTCTCTGAACACCTACATCCGCTGGGCTCTGTGGGGATCCCTGGCCAGCATGGCAGCCCCAGTATGAGCTTCTGGCACCTAGTGCTCCCCCATCCCTGAGGCTGTGGGCGCAGAGGGTGTACGATGGCTCAGCTGTTCCTGCATGTGGGGAGTGGGGGCGAGATGCCCGTGCCTGCCTATGGCAGGAGGTGCTGCCCCAGAGCACTGCTGCCTGCCCAGTACGGAGGGAGGGGTTCCCATGACGCCTGCTGGGCCAGGTTGCTCCCCCCACCTCCCTGGGGGCCCCGCTTGCACCCACCTTGTAGGCCTGCCGTACCCCTCCGTTGTCAGCAATGTTTTCCCCGAGGGTGCTGAATCCGTTTACCTGCACACAGGAGACAGCATGGGGGGCCGGGCAGCCTGAGCCTGGCTGCCCTGCTCCCCCACGGCCAGTGCTGGGGTTCGAGTCCCCTGGGTAGCTGGGTACCCATGGCACGCTCACATTTTGATCGTCCGCTAGGTCCCAGGAGTAGTTGCCGTACTGGTAGATCATGCACTCGGACTGCTCGCGGAAGTGCTGGGTTGAGAAGTTACTCCACCAATCCATCATGTTGCCGTCCTTGTCAAAGTTCCGGCCTGGGAAGGGGCAGGGGTGAGGCGGGCTGCCTACCTGCCCCTGCGCCCTGGGCCCTCTGGCCGATGGCGGCCCAGTACACAGCCTCTCCTGCCCCTTCTCCAGCCAGCCCCAGAGTCAAGAGCTCACGGTCTTGGCAGGGACGGGCCTGGAAAGGCACTGGTGTGCTCTGGGGTACTCAGCCCCCCAGAGCAGGTGGGCTTCAGTGATTCTCCACGCCACCCTCTGAAGTTAGGGCCTGAGGTCTCAGAGGCACAGTGGTTTAAGGACTCCTGGGATGCCCAAACTCCCTGAACCCTAGGTGGGGGGTGCACATGGCACCTAAGGACACGCGGCTGCCAGGGAAGGCCCTGGTGGCTGAGCCACATGGGAACCAGCGGGGGCACCTGTGTGTGTTGGAGGTTGGCATGTCGGGGTCGGCACGTCCCTGGCCGGAGAGTGCTGGCTTCCTGGAAAGGATCCTGGGCTGGGATTGGGCCAGGCCGGGACCCTGAGCTTCACAGGTGTGCTGGGCAGTGCCACTGCCCTCGTTTCATGGGCCAAGGGAGGGGAAGTGACCAGTCGCCAGGTGGAGTCAGATCATGGGATAGAGCTCTTGTGTCCCTTCCTCCCTACCTGGAGCAGGTGCCCTGGATGGCACCCCAGCCTGGCACTCAAGACCTGCCCTGCCCCCGCAGCTCCCTGGGGGACCTGGCACGTCGTCCCGGACCCTGGCCTCAGTGTCCCCACTTAAACCATGAAAGGGTTGAGTGGACACCTCCAGGCCCCTGCCTGCTGCTGCTCAGTGGAGACAGGAGTGGGTGTGGCCCTCACCATTGTCGTCGAAGCCATGCGTGATCTCGTGCCCGATCACCATCCCAATGCCCCCGTAGTTCAAGGCCTGCGGCTGCTCCTTGCTGAAGAAGGGGGGCTGCAGGATGCCGGCAGGGAACACTGTCCGAGGCGGGGGACAGGGAATAAGCTGTGAGTGGGTGCATCTCCCATGTGCCGGGCTAGGCGTGGGCACCTCCAGGGGTCCTGTCACCTAATCCCACAGCCTGGCAGGTAGAGGCTGGGGACCTCAGTTTACAGAAGAGGAGACTGAGGCTCCAAGGCCAGGAGGCAGGGTCAGTGCGTGGCGGGTGCAGGACCCATGTCCAGCTTCTTTCTAGCATTCTGTGCACCTTCAGGAAAGGGGTCTTTGCTGCCCCCCAAACCCACCCCCATGGACATTCACGGACGCAGGAGTGAACCTTCCCTGCAGGTGGGCAAGGGGCGAGGTGGGCAAGAACAGGCTGGGGCACCCCCAGCACAAAGGGGGGGCAAGAGGCTGCAAGTTGCCCCTTGACCTCTGGCACTGAAGGGCCTGGGGCAGGTGTGTGTGGGGCAAACGTACCAATCTGGTTTCGGTTTGGGGAGTAGAACGCGTTGACCACGGCGGCCCCGATGATCCAGCTGCGATAAACAAGGCTGTTGCTTGGAGCCCACATCTGGGACCGTCCCCCTGCTCGGTCCCTGCCCCAGCTGACCAGAGCCCACCCTGAGGAGGCCCATGTTGCAGTGGCCATGCCAGAGCAGGGTCGGGGCCAATCCCAGGGTTGGGTTCCCCTCTGGGGCCCCTGAGGAGGGGCAGCTCAGGCCCCTGAAGCAGAGGGTGCTGGGGGAAACTGAGACTGGCCCAGCAGCCCTCCGCAGCTGGCACTGGGCCAGCCGTGGCCAAGCATGGGTTGCATCTGCATGCCACGCCGGCCACTCCCCGGGGCCCCATGTGACACACCGGCCACACCACTCACAGATTCTGGTCCACCTTTTCTCGAAGCTTCTTTATGCTCCGCTGGGCACCTGCCCTGAGGTTCTGGAGGCTGTTCTCAAAGTACAGGTCCTCTGAGAAGTTCAGCTACAGGACAGGGGCAGTCACTGCCAGCGCTGGGGCTGGGTCCACAGCCAGGAAGGGAGAGGTCAGGTCTGGCTGGGGAAGCCCTCAAGGCTCGCCAGGCAGCCGGCATGCAGCTGGCAGGCCCTGGGTGTGGGTGGACTGGGGGTGGGGGGGCAGCCCTGCCTCTGAGCAAGTCCCTAGTCCCTCCAGGCCTCAGTTTCCCCATCTGTAAACGGAGGGTAGCGCTGGAGCCGCCCCAGGCCATGATGAGGACAGCATGGTGCTGGGGTTGGGCACGGAGCACCCTTCCCAGTGATCAAGGCCCCCTGTCCACAGGGGCTGCTTGGGGACAGGTGGGGTTGGGGACGGTCAGGGGCTGAGCAGCGTGGCGCCGGGGGGAGGGGCGCACATTGGAATACTCCTCGTCCAGGCGCTTGTTCTTCTCCTGCAGGATGTAGTCGGGGTAGCCGACCTGCTGCCGGATACTCATGGCCTGAGGAGGGAGGGCCCATGGGTGCCTGCCCCGCCCCAGGAGGGCTGGACCCAGGGCACCCTGGCTCTGCTCTCCTTGCCCTGTGGGTAAGGGACTCAGGGACTCAGCCCCCAGCTCCACCTCGCAGCGTGTGGAGGTTTAATGGGGACAGAACATGGCGGGCTCGGCCTCCCCACCAACTTTCCAGGAACCTGGGGAAAGACCTGGCCTCAGAGTCCGATAGCCAGCCAGGAGCTTGCAAGGGGCCAGGAGGCTGCTGTTGTCACCCTGACCCAGAGGGGCCTCTGATGGATCCCGGGCCTTACTCCCGAGGCCACCCCTGCTGGTCCCTGGGGATGGCTGGGGATTTCCTGGGCTTGGCTTCCATCCTGTCTCTGCCCCACCACCCCTCATCTCTCAGGTGTCTGTGCTGGTGGCCTGCCTGGAGCTGCCCGCTTCTGTCTGGGCCCCCATCCCCACTGCGGCTGCCTGCGCAGCTGCCCAGGCCCCACCAGGCCGGCGCACCTTATCCTGGGCCTTCCTCCTGGACTCCTCGTCCATCCAGCCCAGCTCGTCCAGCGTCTCCACAAACACGGCCCGCACCTTGTCAATGAGTTCTCCAACCTGGGGGGAGGCACGGCCCTGGCGTCCCAGACTCACCCCAGGGTGGACGGCCAGCCTGGGGTCTTTCCGGGAGGTCTGGTCCGAAGCACAGCCAGGACAGCCCAGACCACCCCCGGCTGCGGCCTCACTGGACAAGGTGCAGGCCGGTGCGGGGATGACCACTCCGTCCAGGGCCCTCCCTGCTGGACCTTGGGTCCCACCCCTGGACTCTGTGTGCACCTTTCCCAGGGGGACCTCTGGCCGGCTGGGGGTTCCCCCGCCCCTCCCCCCATCTGCTGCACCCCGGGTGCCCCCGGGCAGACACCTGCTGCCCAGGCGGAGCGGGGGTCAAAGTGCAGGGGAGCCGCGGCTGCTCCCCACCGCCCCGGGCCGGTGTCCCTGCGAAGCCTGTGCCAGGCGGGCGAGCTGCCCCCGGGGTGGGCCTGGACAGGGGCTGGGCACACGGGGACGCAGGGCCGCCCACCATGTCCTTGCTCTCTCCAGGGAATGCCTGCATGACGTAGAGGGAGCCCACGGCGCTCTCCATGTTGCTGTTGACGTAGCCCACGCACTCTCGCCAGCGCACCTCCTCCACCGTCGTGCCGTACAGCGCCTGGCGGGTTCGTCGTCGGGGAGTTCGTCCCCCCTCTTGTGCCAACATCCACCTCCCCAGGGCCTGCCCTGAGCAGACGCACCCGCCCTCTGCCCCAGGGTGCCCGGGGCGGTGGGGGCATGGGATGGTCTCAGAGACTCGCCTGAGTCTCCGAGTGCTGGCCGTGGGTGCTGGCCGTGGCGTGGGGGCCGGTGTGCGGATTTGAGTGGAGGGTTCCCACACGGACTGGGAGTTGGGCTTTTTAGGCTGGGGGAGTTGGGGTTCCTCCTTGGCCCCTGTCCTTGTCACTTAGACCTGGTTATCTGGCTGGACTCTGTCCTCTAGGAGTCCAGCCCCACCGCAAGGCACAGGGCTGGCCTTGTCAACGAACGAATGAGTAACAGGCCCGCCTCGGGCAGGGCGGGGCCTCGCTCACCTTGCGGTAGTTCACGCGTGCGTCCTTGAACCTCTGGCTCAGGCTGCCAATGCGGTCCAGCACCAGGCGCCAGGCCAGGTAGTTCTGCATGGTCCTGGGGGCAGAAGGTGGGAGGCGGGGCTGGAACGGGCAAGCCGGTATTTGCCAAGGGATATGGAGGGGGCACGCGTGGGGCCCTTGGCCAGCAGGTTCCACTCCGTAGAGTTCTGGCTGCCGGGGAAAACCTACGAGGCTGTGTGGCCGGGTGCCCGGGAGAAGCCTCACATCTCTGAAGTGAGGCTCACTGACCACTGAAATGCAACCCCCTCGTGTCCCCCTCCCCTCCTCGGGGTAAATGCATAATGGGGACGGGGACAGAGTAGGCGCAGGTGTGGAGGCCTCTCGGGACCTCCCCTGGGCTGCACCTGGTCGAGTAGGTGTGGATGATGTGCTCGAGGTTCCGCAGGTAGGGGATGCCGTAGACCACCACCTCCTCGTTGGGCAGCAGCTTGATTTTCACGGAGGACAGCACAGTTTGTATGAAGAGTGTCCAGTTAAATCCCTGGGCAGAGGGGGCGGGGGGAGAGAGGGCGGAACAGGGAGGTGGACACAGCTCCCAGGCCCTGCTGCAGAGTGTCCGTGGAGCAGAGAGACGGCGCGGACGGTCAGAGCAGGGAAAGGCAGGTGACGCGGCCATGAAGCCTGCGGACCGGGAACGCGAGAGCCACCGTGCCGGCGTATTCGAGAATGTAAGTACGATGGGGAAATGCCAGAGAAAAACACAACTTAGCGAAAGTGACAAAAGAAGAAATAGAAAATGCAAATAGCCTGATGAGTCAAATAAGCTGACTCTTTCATCTGAAATAGTCCCACAGACAAATTTCCCGGCTCGCCTGGCTTTACCAGCGGGTTCGATCCGGTATTTAAGGAACACGCACACTGCCAAGTCTTACCAAAACGTTCCAGAGAAGAGGAAAAGAGAAAATCCTTTTCAGTGTGATTTAAGAGGCCAAGAATAACCTCAACCCCCAAACAAGGATCTTGTAAGAAAAGGAAACAACAAGCCGGTCTCCTATTGTCGTAGACACAAAGATCCTAACCAAGCAGGACATTGGCAGATAGAATTCAGCCGCACAGCCAGACTAGGTTCGCCCCAGGAATCAAGTCGATATATTTCGCTATGATTTATAAAGGAGGGGAATCACGATGATTTCAGTAGTTACAGAAAAGGCACTTCATAAAATCTGCCATCTACCAGCAAACTAAAAATAGAAGTCGAGGTCTATAATCTGATACCGGAAACCTGTGAAACAGCAGCAGCAGCAGCAGCAGCAGCAGCAGCAGCAGCAGCAGCAGCAGCAGCAACAAAAACAAAAAACTCCGCGGCAAACATAAGATGCAGCGGCGAAATGCCGCCCTCTGGCCTCGGGAAGGAAGCAGGAGTCCACTCTCACGATGCCGGCATTACGTGGACAGTCCTGGCCAGCTCGGTAAGACAGACGGTGAAATAAAATCAACGAGGATTGAAAGAGAATAAATAAAACTGGTATTTTTCACAGATGACATGGTCCTATGTGTATAAAATCTGAAAAGGATCTATCGATAGACTCTGAGAACTAATAAGTGGATTGCGTAAAATTGCTACAAGTTAATACAAAGTCGGTATTTCTACATACTGCAACAAACAATAAGAGGATAAGTTACAAAAGGATGCTATTTATAGTATTAAAAAACCAAACACACAGGAGGATATCTATTGCACATAAAGGTGCAAGACTTTAAAATAGAAACTGCAAAACTTAGAGAAATTAAAGAAAACGTAAATAAATGGAAGCGCATGTCAGGTTCACGGTTTGGGAGACTCAACATTGTGAAGATGTCCATCTTCCCCAAATTGACGTGGAGATTCCAGGCCATCCCTGTCACAACTCCAGCAGGTGTGTGTGCGTGTGCGTGTGCATGCGTGTGTGTGTGTGTGTGTGTGTGCGTGCATAATTGGCAAGCTGATTTTGAGTTTCATATGAAAATGCAAAGGACCGAGAATCGTCCAGACAGTCCCGAAGGACGAAGCTGTCAGGTGTCGTAGGGAAGCTCCGTAGTGAACCGAGCAGGCGGCTGTCACGCAGAGCGGAGAAGAGACCAGTGGGACAGAAGGGAGTCGGAAACACACAGGCACATACACAAAGACAGGCGATTTGTAACGAAGACCGTGCGCAGGCCGGAGCTAAAGGGGAGGTCTTCTCGGTGCATAGGGCTGGCTGACATGGAAACCCACGAGGAGGAAATAAAACAAGCCCCACATCTCACAGTCTATAAAAAAGTCAACTCAAGGTAGATGGCCGACTACACCACCTTGGGAGAAGGCAAAGAACACTAACCATGGAGAAAAGATCGCTTTGTCTTTAACGGACACATTGATTGGACCACCGGATAAACCTCCTTTGAAACAAAGCAACCATTACAAGAGCAGACAAGCCAGCTGCCCCGTGGGGAGGACGTTTGCACACGCGGACTGACCGGAGTCACATCCAGAGGACACAAAGAACCAGAAGGTCCGCAAGAAAAGGCAGACAGCCCAGCAGAGCAAAGGGACGAGACTTGGACAGACGCTTCACGGAAGAGGACAACTGCTGACCGATCGACACGAAACGGCACCAACCTCCTCGGCCGGCGAGGGCGGTCAAGCGGAACCCCGGTGGGATCCCACGACACGTCCGCCAAGACGGCTGAGACGCAGAGACCAGGCGCTGCCAAGCGCCGGCAGCGGGGGTCACACCCTCGCTGGGGGGCGCAGATCTGTGCCTCGACTTCGGGGACAGAGACACTGGGTGTCTTGGCGTCTCCCACAGCCGAGCGTGCGCCGTTCCGGGACCCAGCGATTTCGTTCCTGGGCGTGTTACCTGACCGAAACACACTAGGTGCGTGCCAGCTGCACATACGGGAACGAGTGTCGCGACGTTATTCAGAAAAGACCCCAAGAAGGCCGGGCGCGGTGGCTTCCGCCTGTAATCCCAGCACTCTGGGAGGCCGAGGCGGGAGGATCGCTCAAAGTCAGGAGTTCGAGACCAGCCTGAGCAAGAGCGAGACCCTCCGTCTCTACTAAAAATAGAGAGTTCGAGACCAGCCTGAGCAAGAGCGAGACCCTCCGTCTCTACTAAAAATAGAAAGAAATTAATTGGCCAACTAAAAAAAATATAGAAAAAATTAGCCGGGCATGGTGGCTCATGCCTGTAGTCCCAGCTACTCGGGAGGCTGAGGCAGCAGGATTGCTTGAGCCCAGGAGATTGAGGTTGCTGTGAGCTAGGCTGACGCCACGGCACTCACTCTAGCCTGGGCAACAAAGCAAGACTCTGTCTCAAAAAAAAAAAAAAAAAAAAAGAAGAAGGAAAGAAAAGACCTCAAGATGGCAGAATTGGGACGCAATTGTTGCATGTTCCTGGGCTGAGCCCGTGAGAAGGGTCCCCAGACGCCACAGCCAAGCAGGCGTGGCTGCACGAGCCCGACCCCCACAGACCCCCTCGCTGTCTCTGACGGGCCGGGGCCCCTGCCTCAGGCCCTCGGGACTTGCTGTCTGCAGCACGCTGGCCCCGGATGGCCGCACCGGGTCCTCCTCACTTCCGGTCGGCTTCCTGGCATGGCCATCGGCTGCCCCCATCCCACCCCTCCCCTGCTTCCTGACATATTCCAAATGTCACTGTCCCTCTCCTGTCCCTCCACACTGGAATACACGCTCCTCGTGACGGCTGTGTCCTGGCAGGCCACCTGGGACCGGCACCGGCCCAGGGACCACGGAGCCTCCTGAAGCACGGGAGCCCCCCGGGCGAGCGTCCCCTGCCTTGTCTATGGCTCTAGACACTCAGTGACAATTTCTGGTCAGGAGGTGGGAGCCTTGGCCCCATTCTGCCCTTGCCCTCTGCCCTTCGACTTGGGCTCTGCCCTCCAGCCTGGGCATCCTCCGCCGTGGCTGGCTGAGCCCAGAGCTGCATTCCTCCCTCCTGGGGGAGCAGGCCCCGGGGGGGAGGCCGGGTGCCCAGGGCAGGGTCGCAGCTGGCTGAGTGAGGGGCTCACCCTTTCCCAGGCTGGGCAGTGCCCGTGGGGAGACGGGGCCTGAGGGTCTAGCCGTGGGGCGCCGCAGTCCCCAGAGTCAGGCAGAACCCGGGCGGCAGAGCCGTGCTGGGGTTCTGAGCAGGACTTGGGGTCCCACAGCCCTGGGTGGGAGTCTGCAGATGTCGAAGAAGCCAGCAACACCCCCTGGGCCTCAGCGTCCTGCTCAGAAAACTGGGGCCACCCTAGCACCTCACAGACAGGTGACTCTGCTGGCCCCTGCTGTCCTGCTGGATGAGCAGCGGCGCCCGCCCCACTCTCACAGTGTCCTGGGTCAGGTGACCACAGGTACGCCCTCCCGGGCCCCCAACTCTGCAACAGGGAGGGAGGCCAGGTGCCTTCTCCGGGGGCCGCCTCCCGTGCCCCCAGGGCCTGTGGCCTCACCTTCAGGCCGAACTGGCTCTGGAGCTCTTCCAGTGCCATCCTGTGGTACAGGGCCGTGACGTCGTGCCTCTCCTCCTGGGGTACCGTGGCCTGCACCGGGGACCGGGCGGTCACACAGGCAGGCGGCCAGGGTGCAGCTTCGGGCCCCGGCCCCGGACGCCCCACCCGGCCCTCCTCACGTTGGCCAGCTGGGTCTCCAGCTCCAGCACCTCCTCCATGTCCTGCCGCACCAGGCGGTTGTTCCTACAGAGGCCCGCGTCCTTGCGCAGCATCGTGGCCACCAGCACCATGAACTGCAGGTAGGCGTCCCGCACCTGGGCCAGAGGAGGCAGGATGCCTGGGCCCCCCACGGAGCTCTCTGTGGGGCGGGGGTGGGCGCAGGACGCGGAGCAGCCCCAGGCAGGCTCAGGCACGAGGGGCCCTGAAGTCGGGGCGTCCCGGACACCTGAGTCTGCCTCCCCCCGACTGCCCCCTGGGCTCTCTGGGGCCGCCTGGAGAGGCGGTGAGTGCGGGGGCAGGGCCACACCCAGACACGCCACGCCCTGGGCCTCCACGTGTCGGGGACCTGCTCTGCGGGGCTCTTGGGGAAGAGGGCGCATGGCTGCATGGAAGGTGCGTGCAGTAGGTGCTCAGTAAGGGCCCAGGGCTGTCGGTGCCAGGGTTAATTTGGCCGCCCTTGCCCGGCTCTGCGCCTGAGGTCAGGAAGTGGATCCCGAGGACATGCGTCCCTCGGGGACGGGACCACCTTCCTCATGCCCGATCCCAGGGGGCCCTCAGTGCGGTGGGGACCTCAGGGGCCGCCTGGGCCCCGGGGCTTGGCATCAGGCCTTCAGCCACCTGCACGGACTGCGGGCCAGACGCCAGGCACCGGGCTCCTGGGGTGCCGCAGCCACCCTCGTCCTCTGAGTTGGTCTCGGGGCCTGGCTCTCCCAGCCCCGCGGCCCCAGGCCACGCCCATCCTTCCTTTCTTGGGGGGGCTGCCCAGCCAGTGTTGCTTCCGCCCCATGGGTCACTGTGCCTCGTGCCATCCCCCTCGACCATGCAGGTGCTCCCCAGTGCCGGCTGTGGGGAGGAGGGGCCGCGTGGACAGGCGGGAGAGCGGGGCTGGGGCGGGGCCGGGGGCAGGGTGTCGGGGGGCGGGCCCAGCATCGGCAGCAAAGCCCCCCTACCTTCTGGTTGCCGCCCTCGTTGAAGTAGTACTCCCGGGACGGCATGCCCAGGGTGGGCTGGTCTATCTGGAAACACAGAGGGCGTGACCCTGGGCAAGGAGTGGGGTCCCCGCATCCCGGCCGAGGTGGGCAGCAGCAGCCCCCTCTCCCAGGACTGCACCCCGTGGAGCACCCACTCTGCCCGAGAGGGGATGCTGGGGTGCGTGTGGGATTGTGGGGGGGCACGAGGCTAGGATGGGGGGCTGAGGCGGGTGAGGGGGTACAGGCCACCTGAGGGCCTCCACCTGCCCTCGGCCCATCCAGAGTGCCGGGCACATTTCTGGTGTTTGTCAGCGGCCTCCAGCCTGTGGCCGGAGGTGGCCCTTTGAGGTCAGGCTTCCTGCTCTGGTGCCAAAGGCCCACGCGGGCCCCAGTGGCCACAAGGCCCCACGGACGCCCTGTCATCAGCAGCCTGTGCCCTGGACCACAGCCGTGCACGGGAGCCCGGGGGCTCCCACCCCATGGTCTGCCCGGTCCCCCGCTGCATGGCGAGAGCCCACTGGAGCCCCGGCCCAGCCCAGCCCCCCGGGCGCGCCCGTGCTCGTACGTAGATGATGTGCCGGCTGGAGTTCTGGTCGTCCGTCCAGATGAAGAGGTCGATGAGGACACGCCTGTTGAACTGTGTGTTCATCAGCGCCAGCTGCCGCTCCAGCTCCCACTCGAGGCCTGGAGAGTCAGTGCCCCACGAAGGAGATCCACCCAGGGCCAGGCCGGTCTCCCAA